TTAGTAGAGATGGGGTTTTGCCATGTTGGCCAGGCTGGTCTTGAACTCCTGGGCTCAAGCAATCCATTTGCCTGGGTCTCCCAAAGTGCTGGGATTATAGGCTGGGATTATATATGGGCCACTGTACCAGACTGTTACAGCCTTTTTGACAAAGAAAATGTTCTGAAGGATGAACCACTAAACAAACAGGAAGTGCTGGCCCATCCTAGTAGGGCTCTTGACGGAGGTTCTCTATTCTATCTCCAAATACTTTTCTTTCTGTCTCATTCCTAAGGGTCTGTCTGCAGGGCATTAGGTAATGAACTGCCCCGTGTTCACCTCCTACTATATTGGCTCTGAGGAGGCGCGATCATTTCCCAGTCCCATTGCCCGCTGGACAAACAGGGATATTAAGGCAGCCTGTGTGTGTGCATGTATTTTTCCCCCTTTGAATGTGGATATTTAAAGCCACCTCCTTTTCCAGAACCACCACTGTACCTTACTTGAATGGTATTGGTTGATTACAGAGGCACACTTACCATAAACTGAGAGTCCAAGAAATATTGTTCCTCATTGTTGGAGGTGTTCAAAATGGTTATTGGGCAGTTATCAGTGTTGTAACGGTGGTGTGGCTTTAGGTACACCTAAATTCCAGTGTAACAAATTAAGAAGCCAACACGATGTTAGGATGTATTTACTGTCTTCAGTGCGCCCTCATCCTCCCACATACCTTTTCTCTATACTTTCTCAGTAGCAAAGGTGATGTGTCCGGGCAAGCATCTTTTGGAACATGAGGGAGACTGGGGGTAACTTGTTCCATGATTTTAAACATCAGTTATTATTCTGTATGCTTTGGTGCTGCGGTTATAAGTTAGTAGATATGAGAGAACATTGGGATGGCCTAGGAAGGCCGGTGAAAAATGAAAAAAAACTCATGAGACCTACAGAGTAAAAGTTTATTATTGTTGTTATTATTTTGAGACAAAGTCTTGCTCTGTCACCCAGGCTGGAGTGCAGTGGCGTACGATTTAGGCTCACTGCAACCTCCACCTCCCGGGATCAAGTAATTCTCCAACCTTAGCCTCCCAAGTAGCTGGGATTACGGGTGCCCGCCACCACGCCCAGCTAATTTTTGTATTTTTAGTAGAGATGGGGTTTCACCATGTTGGCCAGGCTGGTTTTGAACTCCTGACCTCATGTGATCCACCCACCTTGGCCTCCCAAAGTGCTGGGATTACAGGCATGAGCCACCACGCCCAGCCCAGAGTAAAAGTTTAAACAGCAGTAGTTCTAGACAAAAGTCATGAGAATTAATCTTTTCATAATTTCTAAATTCTTTTAGGGTTATCATTATGGAATATCTGTGACCCAGATGTTTTCCATCTCCTGAGAAGTGTGTAAGATAAAGAAGTGTCTTACACTAAAACCCAAAAAGCAGTGGGTATGTTTATTTTAAATCCAAAGAATCTAAAGACTTCGATTTAAAGAATAGTGTAAAATACAATGTAAAACCAAAAAGTCATCTTTAGAAAATATAAGAACTCTATGTAAGTAGATACGGAATAGTATAAACACATAATAGTGTAAGGTGGTAAAGAAAAATACTTTTTAGTTTTTGAAACGGAGTCTCACTCTTGTCGCCCAGGCTGGAGTGCAATGGTGCAATCTTGGCTCACTGCAACCTCCGCCTCCTGGGTTTAAGTCTCCTGCCTCAGCCTCCCAAGTAGCTGGGATTGCAGGTGCCCGCCCCCACGCCTGGCTAATTTTTATATTTTTAGTAGAGATGGGGTTTCACCATGTTGGCCAGGCTGGTCTTGAACTCCAGGCCTCAGGTAATCCGCCTGCCTTGACCTCTCAAAGTGCCGGGATTACAGGTGTGAACTACTGCACATGGCCTTTTTTTTTTTTTTAGTGTACGTATTTTTTTTTTTTTAGAGCGCGAGTCTTGGCTCTGTCGGCCGCCAGGCTGCGATTGAGTGGCTGGAATCTCGCTCCTGCAAACTCCTGCCTCC